TATCCCACAGAATAGACAGGGAGACAGCTGCTGTAGTAGCTCAGTTGAATGTGCATCGGACGCGTTATTCAAATGTTGCAGGTTCGGTCTCTGCCCATACTAACTTATCTTTTCGTCCACTTTTCTTTCTTCGAAATTACATTGGAATTGCTTCTAATACATCCTTTGCACTTTCTTTGGCATAATTGTCTCTCAGTTCTCAATGACTTGCATAACGGAGAAAAGGAGCCCTTAAAATTACTCTTCATTCTTTAGTTTTTTTAAAGCAACTTATAGAGTTACCATGGCCCTGTGGTACAACGTCTGCTTGCCACGCAGATTTGTCAATTATTTTATCTTAATTGTTTGATCTTAATTCTTCTTAATTGTTTGATCACGGACAACTTGATGGTTTTTCGCTCATCGCCAAGGAAACCGACACCGACTGCAACTCTGACACTGGAGTGTCTGTGAAACCATCTGTTGCATGCAATCACGTTAAAAATTGGTCACATATATTTTTTGTGAAAACCCCTGCCTATTATTTGATATGTGTGGTTTAACGTCCCAAAGCCACCGTACGATTATGAGAGACGCCGTAGTGGAGGGCTCCGGAAATTTCGACCACCTGGGGTTTTTTAACGTGCACCCAAATCTGAGCACACGGGCCTACAACATTGCCGCCTGCATCGGAAACGCAGCCGCCACATCCGGGAAAAGCCAGGCTGACTAGATACAAGTAGCTGAGTGATTGTTTCCGCTAGTGATGGCTCAAAACAGGCTGACTTCGTGCAGCAAACGTTTTCGGCGCCGCTTGGAAACCTAGACCTCATAAAAATGTCCTAGTGTTCATATATAGCAACGATGGAAACATATGGACTGTTGCTCACGGGGCAGGAAATAGTTGCGCAAAATGGGGGAGGTTGGCTAAAATATTTAATTATCTAGATGCCTGCAGCATGTGTTTCGCAGGCCCAAGTTTCGATAATCCAGCGAAATGCGTCGCTTGGACAGGGCATTCTTCACATTTCTTTTGGTCGGGGTGTACTGCACACTTGAGGCATAAAAGTTCATGATCAACAGGGGTGTAGGCAGAATTTTTTTCGTTTGCGGGGCACCACTTTCGTATGGCCATTTTTAGCTCTGTATGCCATGGTGAAACAAATTGCAGACGGGGGACAAGGGCCAGGTGTGCTACTCCCTGGCGACGCCAGTGATCAGGTAAGATATCACGATAAGGTGTTTCGTGAAAAAAAACACGGTTGATGTTCAATACATGCATAGGGTGTGTCATATTGTGAAAAATCAAAGCCTATCCACAAAGTGAAAGGTGATGACTCGGCGAAGAAGAGTAATCGTTCAGTGTTACCGCAAACACCCATGACATTCATTACTCACGCAAGTTAAGGAGTTAAGACGCTGTGTACAGTTATTTAGAATGCGTATTTGTCATAAATGGTAGGTTGTGTTCAGTTGTGAATTTAGTTTTGCCTTCATTATTACTGTTGTATTGTATCGAATGTAACCTGAGGTTGGCGAAGATGACGTCCGTGCACGTTCCTCTGCTGGTTGTTGGTTGTTTGCTCTCATACGAAGAGAATTGCAGAGCATAATAAGACGTCATTTATTGCAGAAGGCAGTCGCTGTCCGCGATCATCATTGTCATCATCATCTTGTAGTGGCTGCCTTCCATGTACAATGCCGCAATTGCAGAAAGAGAATGTGTGGTGTGAAACGTGCTCCTTCTTCAACATCTTAAGCGCCACCGTCATTGTTACGACGTATAGCCGTATAGCCCGACGTATAGCTCATGATGATAATTATGAATGTATGGTCTGAAACACGCTAGCTCTTTATCGTCATCAGCATCAACGTCATCGTCAGCGGCGACTAAGGTGTGGCAGAGGACAGGCCTCGTTCAGAAGCTACTTCGCATAAAAAACAATTTAACAGCCCCGCGATATCATGGCGCTTTTTTAGCACATAAGCACACCTAAGTTGTCCAGAGTAGTAGCATGGTAAGCATCGTTATCAACTTTCTCGTGAATATTGAGAGGCAACTGTAGTCCTGGCGCTTGGTGAGAGTTTCGTCAGCAGGTTCTACTTTTCTTGTCAATGTAGAAGGTAGAGGGGTGATGGAAATGAAACACCAGGGTGCAGTATGCACTGACTAATAAAAAAACGCCAGGTCTGTGCGGAAGGTGCAGCACAGTGACAGCGAATGCAAGAAGAGCAGCCTTTCAGAGCTTTTTCTAAAGACTGATTAGGAAACTCCTCCTAGCACACTAGCGGGGTAGCCACTCAGGCAATAATAATAAAAATTTTACGGCATCCTTCGTTTTTCGGTATCATTTTATGCAATCCTTCGTCAATCTTCTCAGAAGCGGGGTATCCGCTAAACAATTGCGAGGAATTTTGTGCCATTTGTTCGTGCAATGGCTGACGACGATGAGGAGTTATGCCTGAAGTTGGTGTGCGCCCATGTTAATAAGTGATCGACAACAAGCGTTTGTAGTGGTTTGGAGCATCGGATGACCCAATCGTTACACTATTCGCATTGTGTAACGCCTGGTTGCTCGTTTGCTGTTCTAAAGCACTTTGTTACTCACAATAACGCGATTCCTTTCCGGACATGAAACCCGCCTCGGGCAAGTTTGCCAACAAGCCCCAAGCACCAGCGTAGCTTAAGCTAAGCATCTAACTTCCAAGCCACACTGGTGTATCGATTGCTGTTGGAAGAAAATCAGGATGTACTTGCAGT